ATGGCAATTTTAATTTCTCTTTCTGGAAGGCTCAGAAGTTCTTCCAAGTTGCTGTCGTTGCAATCTGGGGAGTGGTTTTCTTTTTGTGGTGTGCTTCTTTCCTGAGGAGTTGTTAGGTTGCGTGTGGTTCTTCTCTCCCTACTGTCTGTTTTCTAATTTGTCGTATGCGTTGGGACACTGTGTTGCTCGGACTGACTGACATCTTGGGTGAACTTCTCCGCTCCCCTCTGGCTCTTCCAGGAGCCATCTCTGTCTTCTGGGGGAGCTTTCTGCTGGTTTTAGGCAGTTTTTACTGAAGAAATGTCCCTGTTCTCAAATGGCGAAGCGGGATGCAGTCCCTGCACCTCCGGTTTCAGGCACACTCTTCTGCGCCCCGGTCTGCCCGGACGTGGGTGCCTGCTCCCTCTGTGGGCTCAGACTGCTGGTTGGAAGGGGCCTGGCGTGGAATAACTTCCCGGCTGGCCACTGGGTCCTCCAGAAGCCTTCTGCCCTTTTCAAGCAGTCTTAAGAAATTTCCTGTTTTATGGGGTGTTAGTGACTTTTTTTTCCTGGTCGCTAGGTGGCGCCAGAGATCTCTCCTATTGTCCTTGGGGGGCTGTTTTTCGCCTCCCCCACCCCGTGGGACAGGGAACAGAGCGGGAATGGTAGGGTACACCTCAACAGCTTTGGGGTGCTGTGTCTGCCTTGTGCCCCACCGTCGTGGAGAACCCACGCCCCGAATTTTCGTGCCCCGGGTCTCAGTTCAAAGCCCTCAGTTCCAGGACGCGGGCTGTAGCCCAGTTCAGTGGCGCGGGAATGGCGCCTTTTGCACCGCTCCCGTGCCTGGGCGCCTGGTTCCTGCTTACTCAGGGAAGGACCTTCACCTCAGTGAGGACCTCCGCGCGTCTCCCCGCAAGCCTAGGTCGCAGGCGCGGGACCTGGGCAGCCGGGATCCTGGTCCGCGTTTTCTTTTCAAGCGTGCCAAGCGCTGCTTTCCCGCGCAGGCTTACTGGCAGCCCGGGCTGTGTGCGAGTCTCCAGGGGTCTTTGTTCTTCTCTAATGGCGCCCGGAGCCGTTCGCTCACCGCCGCGGCGGATCCTGCAGGGTTCGCCTCAGCTCCCGTTCACGGGGTGTGGTGGCTGCAATAGTTCCTTTCCACTCACAGTCCCGCTTGCTGCGTCGTTTGTTCTTGTTGGTCGTTTTAGTGTGTTGTTTTCCTCCTCTCTGCTGGTCGGAGAGTGCCCCTCTGTGGGCGGGGGAGGGGAGCAGGGTTCTGCGCTTCCCTCCCTTCTAGTCCTCTTTTATGGCCAGTTTCTTCTTCGGGTAGTTTGCTGGAGTCGTCCGTTTATCTTCCGTGTCCCAGTTCTCAGTGGGACCTGCCGCTTTTCCTCCCTATTAACTTTTTTTAATGGGAGATCTTACTCGCAGCGTCTCCTCGCCGCCATGTTGCTCCGCCCTCTCTGAATAAATCTTGATTCTATTTTGGGATTCTTGTCTCATTCCCTATTATATGCAAATATACTAATAGACTATACAGGTAGCTAATTTAGAAACTTAAAACATTTTGCTTCCTCTGACTTAGAGATAGCAAAAAGAAAAATGCTTGAAATAATTTACTGCATTAAATGATAGACATTACATTTCAAGGAAAAAAAATTCAGAAGCTAGAAAACAAACAGGAGCTAGTACTGAAAAGCCTACAAATCAAGAATTCCAGAACAAACACATTTCAGAATCAAAGGTTCTTAATACAAGACAATATGGTGAGGTGGGTTTAGGGTGAATAGAACTGAACATTTAACAGTGAATATAATGTAAGACATACACATATTCTCAATGATGCACATCTTAAATTTACATTATAATGCGATATTACTTCATTTTTTAAAATTATTGAGAAAAGAACAACTTTTACATGGAAAAAGTCAAAAGTTGTTTAGTACATTGCTCCAGAGGGCAAAGGTCCCACAGGGAAGTTCTTATAGGGAAGTATTTACTTTCCATTAGGAAGAACTTCTAAGAGCTAGAGCCTTCAAATGGAATGCAATATGAAGTATCTCTCCATTGTAATTATTCAAAAAGAGGCAGAAGGCCATTATCTATCTGAGAAGTTGGGGCAAGTGAATAAGGATTAGATTAATTGGTTTCTTAATTTCTTTTCCATATCAGTTGTGAGGTTATTGGTTTAGGAAACTGCCAGATGATGGCTTAAATGATGGCTTGATCAACAAATAACTAAGAATTCGCTAGGAGACAGAAATCAGTGACCAGTTGGTTAAGCTCAAATTAAGTCAGTTTTTAGGGTTTCCCATGATTCTGCAGCATTTTATCTCAGGGAATTTCAGGCAATGCACATGAGTTAAAACTATAAGGATTAGCTGCAGCTTCAGTCATATGAACTATTCCACCAGCAGTCATGGATCTTGTCAAACCCACTGTAATAAAGTTTCTTCATCATTAAATTGTCTAAGTTCTTCTACAGATTTCAAGTGGAGTTGAAGAAATCCTGCTGTTGCTGTTGATGCTTCTTCCATAACAGGATCTATCATTATCTTCAGAAGGCCTATGTTATCTTTTCATTTGTCAAACAAAACTCCATTTCTGAATATTGTAGAGGAATTACTGAAATGTATGTCCTACATTGACATGCTTGTATTATAACTTCTCCCAGATTCTGCATCTTTGATACTTCTCAAAATTTACCTCAGCTTTCTTAACCACTCCAGATCTGTTGGGATTACTATCTTAATAAATTTCTGGATAGCTGGTTCAAAGCAGTGTAATTTTACATTTTCTTCATCTTCAGACATCCTAAAAAGATGTTGTATCACTTCTACTTGCAAAAACTGACTTCTCCACTCCTAGAGAAAATCTAATGCCACGCTGCCCTCCAGGCATCTCCCCCATGAGTAGGCACAACACCCACAGTGCCAGTCAGAGTCTGACACCCCTGAAGCAGCGTCCTGTGAATCCCACATAGTGTTTTTAAATGCAGGAGACAAAATACATAGAATTACCAAGGAAACATATTGAAAATGTTACAAAAATTGTGATACTAAATTTCTGATAGGGTAACAGTGCTCATAATAACATTTAATAGCAAGATACAGATATTATCTGCAACAACTGTAATGTGATATGAAAATGAGTTTTATTAACAACAGTAGATCCTATTAATAATAGTGGTTTTCTGTCTCCACACTAATAGAAAAAGATACTCAATTTCAACTAAAGTTAATATAGAGACATAAATTGTTTCTATCCAAATCCATGGGCCCCTGAACACCACGTTAAGAATTCCTAAAGGGGAGAAAAAAAAATTGGTATAGAGTAGATAGATGTGTTTGGGGTGGAGACATGGGGACAGGGGAGGAAATCTTTTTCCCAAGAAAGGGTTGGCTATGGACAGGAAACGGTACATCCATAGGGGCAACAGCAAAGGCTTCCTGCCAAGGGATTAAGACTCAGAGGGATATGGTGGTGAGGGTGTATAACAAGGAAATGATGAGCCAGTAAAGCCTAGACCAGAAGGTGGAGGGGGGAAAGGAGGAAGAAAGCGGAGGACGTCAATGGTGAAAGTCTGGAGTCCCAGTGAGGTCAAAAGTGGACAGGAGGGAGTGAAGTAGAAACACAGTGTTAGAAAGATGGTTGAAATGCATAGAATATTCTGTGAGAGTTGCTGAAATGTTACCAGGCAGCAGAAGACACTTTTTAGAGCTGCCTGGGAAGGATTTGGGAAAGCTTTAAAGAAAATGAGATTTGAAATTACACTATTAATGTTATATTTTCTAGATTCAGTCATCATAGACTTTTCAATTAAAAAATTAAATTCAGTAAATTTTTTTACACATAAACTAAAATTTGTACTTACCAAATATTATACTGTTTTAGCTTCCAAGCAAGTAGTGATATAAAATGCCAAAACTAACTCAAGTTGATTTTCTATCTTGACAATCACTGTGATATGGTTTATTTCAAATGCGTATTAAGTAGACGTATACAGTATACATGATGTCTTAGGCCATGGAGATAAAAGGGCACTCACCATGCCCAAGGTGAGTGCAAAAAGTACCAAGCAAACTGTTAGGAACTTACCTCGCAAATGAGCAAGTGTAGGTCTGTGTCCAGAGCCAACTTAGCAAATGTACAAATTACCTGTCATGTAGAACCTATTTGTTAAAATGTTAAGAGGTGCACTGGGGTTCCTGTTCTGTGGTGCCACCTCACATTCTCGCATTAAAGAACTCCATTCCACAAGGCAGCAAACACGAAGTCAAGTTCTGAGAACCCGATTCCGTTTATTTGTCTTAGAAGGGGGTGAGGCTGGAGTAGTCCAGCTTCCTGGATTCTAACCTCCCATGCCTGCTTGGACTGCTTCCTCACCCACGGCTTCCCTGCCAAAACTTCAAATGTTTTGTTTGTCCCTCCTGGACATTTAGCTCTGGACACTCTTTTCCTCTGTAACACACCTAGGGCCCAGATGCACTGACACCTGCTATGGCCTGGAGCCATCTGAACAGCCAAGTTGTAGCTGTAGAGCCGAGATTTCCCCACATCATCCAGGCGGGAACAGTCCTTCCGGCCAGTGCTGACTGCAGGAGGCCGCCTCCCAGCCACACGCGGAGGACGCAGGGACCGAGGCTGCCCGAGGAGCCGCCGAGCGCCGGGCAAGCGCTCCGCTGTGGGTGCCCCCGGGGGCCCCTTACCCCGGCGTCAGTCGAGCGCGCGATCGGTCGAACAGGCACCCCCACACCCCAAGCAAGGGGAGCACCGCCACCCAGGGGCGTCAGCACCGTGAACCAACGCCGCAGGCCCGGGAGCACCGTGATGCTGCGCCAGCCCCTAAGACGTGGCTCACTGCCGCGGCGTCCCGCTCCGTCACGCCCGCCACCGCGGCGTGGAACCTCCAGACCCCGGCGGGACCGCGCTGCCGCGGCCCTGCCGCTCAACGCCCCTAGCCACGTCCTAGCCACGCCCACCCCGCTGCCTTCACAGAGGACGCGGGCCGGCCAGGGCCGGCTGAGACTGGTTAAAGGGAGCAGGCGCCGCCTACTGACCGCTAGGGGCGGGGACCGACGCACAGGCCAGTGAGAGGGGTGCCGAGAGCTGGTGGCAGGACGTCGGAGGAAAAGACGAAGGGCTGATGCAAATGCAGTGCACCTGCGCCGCTGCGCATGCCCGGAGGTTCTGAAATTTAAGGCATAAACTGCCTGAGGACTTCGCCTTCACTTCAAAGGAATCTTCTCAAGATGTGAGAACTGCGGGTTTATTTCACGCTGCAGCAATTGGGCTCTTCCCTTCTTGCACCAGCGACTAGGAGATGATTTTTCTATTTGGAGAGGAGAGTTATTGAAAATTCAGAGGGTACAGTAATAACATTAGATTTGGCTTTTCCCAAGGCAGGAGATAAAAGGGGGTCAGGGTGTCAACTAGAACCCAGGAAAAAATGTCAGAAGAATAACTATTATGTAGCTCTACGTCAACCCCTATGTCTGGTTACTCAGTTAATCATGGGGAGACTTAGGAACTTCACTTGTCTAACTCAAAAGAGAAAACTACAAAAAGCTCAAATTTAATTCAAGTTTGCAACAGGATGAAACTCTTAAAAAACCTCAGATTGGGCTGAGAGCAAATACAGAGACTCCCTTCCTCTCCATGCCAAAGAAGGTAGTGCTCTTCTTCAGGACTTAGAAAGGAGGGGAATAGTGACTATTTTTACAGAATTGGTTCATCCCTTACTTCAGTGATGAAAGAAAATTGAGAGGGTGTGAGAAAATAAGGCATTTCAATGGAGAGGAGTCTGAGAGTTTTATTGTTTCGCACAGCAATGAACTGACAGAACAATGGAATGGAGTAAAGGAATGTATATTATCTAAGAGTAACCAAGAATGATGGAACCTGCTTTTGATTTCATTCACTGGACATAGGAAGTAGGATTTTGCCAACCTATTAAGGGACCATGAAAATTCTGCTCTTTTGATGTTAGGCTTATGCCTGCATTAATGAGTGAAGTACATAAAATGTGGTGATTGATTGTAGGATAAATGAAAATTATCAGGCTTTTCCGCCCTCCCAATCTTAGCATTAATGATGGATCCCTGCAGTCCTACATACATGCCTGATGGTGGGCACCTGGAGTAGGGTGTGGGTATGCATAAGTGGGCACACCTGGGCTGAGAGACTGGGCTTATAAGGGTAGCATCATGGGGACGCCACCAGAGTAGCAGAGAGAAGAACCATCAGAAAGACAGAGAAGCAGAGACCACGAGAGAATGCCAAAGAGCCCAGAAAGAGTGAAGATTTGCCAGAGGACTGCTAGCCTCCTGGCCCCTGGACCCCCCTCCTTGTAAAAGCCTGAAAAGCCACTGAGGGCTCCAGGACTCTTCTTTTTTTTTTTTTTTATTTATTTATTTATTTATTTATTTATTTGTTTGTTTGTTTGGTTGGTTTTTTTGTTTATACATGCACTGGGTACAGTCAGAAGCGCGGGAGGGTGAGAGAATCCACCAGAGCCAGAGCGGGGAGCAGAGCAGGCAGAAGGATCAAAGCACACTGCTGAGGGGAGCAGCAGGCGGCAGGAGAGGTCTGCGCGCCATGTGGGACCCTCCTCCCATGTGGGACCCTCCTCCGGTGGCTGGGGAGCAGCCAGGGATCGAACCAGCGCTGCAGAGGCTGCGGGCAGTTTCGCAACCCAGCACTCAACCGCTGCGCCACAGGGGAGGCCCTCCAGGACTCTTCTTTACCTGTCTGCCTGGTTCATAGAGATCCTGCTCTGTGCAATCCCGCCATCACGGTGATCTTCCTACTTTATACTAGGAATGAAAGTATCAAGTTAACTCTTTTGTGCCACAATTCAAGAATATGGTTGTAGAGTAAATGGAATTAATCAGGCTTTTTACACCACTAGCCTCTAGTGATCACCTGTTACCTTGATCCTGTTAATGCAGGGGGAGATTGGGAGCATGGGTGCAGGGCCTGTGTGCCTGATTGTGGACACCTGGAGTATGAGTGTGGCTCTGCGTAAATGTGCAGCGTAACAACAGAAGAGGTGAGACCATGAGAGAATGCCAGGGAGAGCCCAGAGAAAGAGTAAAGATTTGTGGGAGCTGGGAGGTTCAGTAGCCTGCAGGCCTCCCAGCGTCCCCTGCCCTGCCTGGCCTATGTCTGCCTCCTTGTGTGCCAGCCTGCCTGCCTGGTGTGCCTGTCAAAAATGCCACTATGGTCTCCTGGATTCTCATTATCCATTTGCCCGAGCCACAGTGAACCTGCCCTATGCTTGCTAGAACTACAGTGGTATAGACCAGACACTGGGATCATCCTAAGAGTAGCTCATGATTGGACACCGTGTAGTTTGGGCTATTTAGTTCATAAAGGAGAAGTCTGAGAGGGCCTACAATCACATTACAATAAGAAACTTATGAGTAAATCAGTCTTAAAATGATTTACAAGAACTATGAATGCTATAATGGCACCAGAAGGGGGCACAGTAGGGAAGAGAATGACAGAAAGGATGTTTCCAAATGGGTGATCTTGGAGATTAGATTTGCATAAGGAGATGGCCACATGAAGAGCTGAAGAGTGAGCAAGAACTCTAGAGAAGGTCCCAGAGGACAGGGACCAGTATTAACATCTCTGTAGTGGCAGGAAGGGCACAGAGCAGAATCTCCATGATCGGGCAGATGGAGTAAAGGAGGAGTCTTGGAGCCCTCAGTGGCTTTTGCAGGCTTTAATTCAGATTTACCAGGTACATGGCAGGCAGGGGGACCAGGGGGCCGGGAGACTGGCAGGCCTCCCAGGCCCCAGCAAGTCTCTCTCTGGGCTCTCCAGCCTTCTCATGACCTCGTTCTCCGCTCCTTTCACTCTGTTGTTCCCCCTGACACTGCCCTTATAAGCCCAGTCTCAGCCCAGGTGAATCCCATCTACATATGCCCACACTCTATTCCAGGTGCCCACCATCAGGCATGCATTTAGGACCACAGATCCATCATCAAGCCTAATGGCAGGAGGGCAGAAAAGCCTGATACTTTACTTATCCTACAATCTCTATAAAGATCTTCCCGAGAGAGTAGAGATGAATCTGACTGCCCCATTGAAGTAGGTTGGAGCCTGACTTATATACTCCTCAGGGTACTCACTTTTCTAACTCGATTGGTGGTCCATTTTAGTTGAGTGGCACCTATGGAGGCTTCAATTATATTGGCCCATTTACCAATTGGTGCAAGTTGAACAGCACCAATGTGACCAACCTGACCTATACTGAGGTTGGGCTTCAAAAACTGAACACCAAAAGCCACTTTGGCACTGGTGCAAGCTTGAACCTGATTGGTGTCCATAGGAGCACCAATCAGATTGGTCCATATTCAATCCCATGCTGGTTTCATGGGCTCTTCAGTTTCTCCACTTTCAATTCTTGTTATCATTTCTATGGTGATCAGTTGGATGAAACTTCTCTCCCCAATCATTGTCATTTGTAACCAAAAAAGTAAAACAAAAAAATCAGCCAACAGTTGCAAAAAAGTTTAAGCTTTTCTCTTTCCCTTAAATATTTCAGACCTTGAACAGGTTCACCAAACCAATGATTTTGAGTGTCTGGCTCATCACATTCTGGGGCTTTCTTTATTCTAGAGTGATGTACCCAGGGTTATATACCTACAAGTTTCAAAGAAGTATGAGACGTTAACAACACATCACAAGGACCATTTCCCTGACAGTTGGGTTTAGGCAGCTCCACTCTGCCAGGTATTCAGGAAGACCTGATAACCAGGTCTGAAAGGATGCAATGGTTTGACTGGAGGCATGGAAATTCTAGGAAGTGCAATGCTATATATGTTACGGTCAAATCTTCTGAAGGTGTTTTATGTACTGTTTCATCTTGAATTCTTGTTCTATTTCCAGTGTCACGTTCAAAACTGAGGCTTGGAAGGGTTTTCCAAAGACAACTTCCAAGGGGCTTAAATTCAGCCAACTTCCCCACTTCTAGGCACCGATTTTATCTGATCCGAACACAGTTGGATAGTTTTGGCATAGTTGGTGCAGTTTTTCATTCAGCCCTGATACTCCCTTTTAACACTCCAGTTTTGCCAATAAAGCACCCCCACACAAATGAATAGCATTTTATTCGGGATTTGAGGGACATTAATGTGATAGTCCAGGACATACATGCAACCATGCCAAATACTTACTCCCTGGTAACTGCCATACCTGGAGATTTCTCCTACTCCTCAGTACTGGACTTGAAAGATACCATTTCCTGCATCCCAGTAGATATCCAGGATCTCTTTATTTTGAATGGCAGGAACCTGTGTTTTAAAGCTCTGCCACTATTGCTGTACTGTTCCTCTGTGAGGATTTAAACATTTTCCAACTATATTTGGGGAAATACTGGCCAGAGATTTCAGAAAGGCCCAACAAAAATGGAGCACATTCCAGCAAATTGTGAATTATTTGCTATAAGCCAGTCTTTGACTATAAATCTTCTCTGGACAATAACATATCAGTTTTAAGTCATTTAGCAGAATGTGACTACAAAGTGTCACCACATAAGACAAAGACATGCAAACAAAAGTTAGCATACTTGGGATTTGAGATCAAGAAGGGCAAATTAAGCATCATGTCTGAGAGACAGCAGGTCATTTGAGCTCTTAAAGTCCCTAGCATGGAAGGTAGTTAAATGGATTTTGGGCAATGACTGGATTTTGCAGAATTTGGATCCCCAAATTTGGGCTAATAGCAAAGCCCCTATATGAAGCCCTCAGACCCCAGACTCTAAACCTTTGTTTTGGACTCGTGAATGTCAACGGCCTTTAATAAAATAAAAGGAAGGCTGATCTCAGCACCAAACTTAGACTGCCAGATTCCAGAAAGCCATTCCAACTCTGTGTTTGGGAGACAGGGAATTGGCCTAGGCATGCTAATCAATTATTAGGGCCAGTTGTTTGTGAGCTGTAGCTGCCACATGTGACTTCTACATGAAGCAGAGAAACCGGCCTTGGATCGTTAAAAACCCTGTGTACATCACCCCAGAGGGTGGTTGTAGGGAGACTAAAACCTTTTGGTTTTGTGAAGACCTGACCTGTTAAAGACCTGAGCTATTTAAGAAAATGACAAAAAGCATTAATTTTTTTTCTCTCTCAGTTTCTGTTGTCAGATACCCAGGATTAGCATCCAAGTGAATTCTGAAAACCCTATGATGATGAATTAGGTTATAAGCCTTCTTTTGTAATTGCTTTAAATTTTATTCTGTTTCAAAAGTCTAAGGTCCATAGGATTGAATTTGAAACTACGTGACCTCTGCTGACAAGACTCCCAGCTTTGGTAATTTGATTTTGAAACTATGGGGAAAAAAAGTTGATTTTGATTTTAGATTTTCATTTCTGATTTTTACAATTTTGATTTTCTGAAGAATTTATATAAAGGCCTACATTTTATTTTTCCTTTTGTCTCTTTGGAGTTTTTTCAAGTAGTTCTGTAGTTCAGGTTAACAAACAGCTTGGTTACTTTGATGTGAGCAGGCAGTGGTAAAAAGAATCTAGTCTCAGAAAACTAGAGTTTCTCCTATAAGTATATGAAGGAAAGCTCTTTGTCTTTGCAAATATGAGTAAAAGTGCAGTTCCATAAAATATTCCACATGGGTTATCTGCAAACTAAGGGAGCTGTGTCTATACATCTTCCCTTGTGTCTCCAATTATTTTGGCTTCTGGAGGATGAAAATTAGTATAGACAACATCGATAGAAGTTTTCAACTCAGAAATATGATAGGAAATTTAATAGTTTGGTTTGAAACATCTATATCTTTAAAATTGTGCTATTGAGTGAAATTATTTTTTCACCTGTGTCATTTGTGTTGGGTACATGCTGCACAAGGCAGCCTGAGGTGAACAGTTTAAGTCATGAAATGTGGGGTAAAATGGAAATTGTGAAATTAGAAGCTTTGAAGGTTAAGATTACAATTCTGGAATTGAAATAATAAGGTTTGGTGGAAGGAAAATGGTTACTTTTGGAATGAGATAAATGGAAAGGGTCTAATTCATTTCACATTATGCTGGTAAGATGTAGTTGGTGTTTTTAATATCTTAAATTGTCACTGTTGGAATAATTAAATGATGTTTTTTAAATTATGACAGAAATTTTCAGAAATATAAAATAGGAAAAATTGGTAGTCTTTTGCTTGATTGAGCAGAGGAAATTTATGTAACCTCAGGAGAGTTCCTGAGACATTCCTTAAAATTTCTCACTTTTGGGCTTCCCTGGTGGTGCAAGGGGTTAAGATACAACCTGTGAAGCTATCTGCAGCCACTGCAGCATTAGTTTGATCCCTGGCCAGGGAACTACCCACATGGCGAAGCAGACCTCTCCAGACTCACCTGCTGCGCCCCTCAGCAGTGTATTTCAGTCAATCTGCCTGTTCTGTTCCCCACTCTGTCTCTGGTGAATCCTCTCACCCCCCACACTTCTTGCCTGTACCCCAGCTCTTATATGCATAAATAAATAAATCTTTAAAAAATTTCTCGGGCCTCCCTGGTGGCGCAGCGGTTGAGCGCTGGGTTGCGAAGCTGCCCGCAGCCCCTGCAGCGCCGTTAGATCCCCGGCTGCTCCCCAGCCACCGGAGGAGGGTCCCGCATGGCGCGCAGACCTCTCCTGCAGCCCGCTGCTCCCCTCAGCAGTGTACTTCGGTCCTTCTGCCTGCTCTGCTCCCCACTCTGGCTCTGGTGAATTCTCTCACCCTCCCACGCTTCTGACTGTACCCAGTGCTTGTATAAATAAATAAATAAATCTTTAAAAAAATTCTCACTTTCCCTACAGGAAAGACTAGATTAATTGGACCTATTTTTACATTTATCTGGCTAATTGGCACTTCATGGGAAGTAGTCCTGCTTGAGAGAAATGTTTCAGCTTAGCCTATATATGAATATTAATATTTGTGGTCTAAAACTCACTATGTGAATATGAAGTTTAAGAGAGGTTGAGTCAGTTTTTTCCATCAGCCCCCCCTTCCCTGAGCACTGCACTGGCTGTATCATGCTGACTCTCAGCTCTGGGCTCCTGCTAAGCTAGCACCACAGTTCTTTCCCTCTAGTGCCCAATATGACTATCTACTGAAACCTCACCAGCTACTGCAAGATGCTTTCTGACATCTACAAGATCCTGGAGATTGAAGATGGGTATGCCTACAGGTGGAGAAGAAGACAGTCAGTAGGACAGAGGGCGACATTTTTGATTCATGAATAAGTAGAAATGCTTCCGCTGAAGGCCCTGAGGGTGAAGTTACGAAAAGCACAGTAATTATTTCAGATGATATTGCCATGAACCATCACTTGCAAGAAACCAACTTCACAAAAGAAGCCTACAAGGAGCACATCAAAGATTGCATGAAATCAATGAAAGGCAAGTTTGAAGAACAAGAGGCAAGAATTAGTAAGACCTTTTATGACAGGGGCTGACAGAACAAAGCAGGCACATCCTTGCTCATTTCAAGAGCTACTAGTTCTTTTTTTGGTGAAAACTTGAATCCAGATGGCATGGTTGCTCTGTTGGACTACGATGAGGATGGTTTCATTCTAGATATGATTTTCGTTAAGAATGTTTCAGAAGTGGAAAAATGTTAACAAATTTGGCACTATTTTTGATCTATAACCTGTCATCATATCTAGCTACTGTTTTTCATTCATATACTAGGTCAGTGAACTGGGACTGATGTAATCTAAAAATTTTCATTTATTTTGATCTTGAGTTATTTGGAGTTGAGGAATTAAGAAAATATGTTCTGCAGATTGTCTAAAACCAATGTTCATTTTAAATAATACATATATAAATTCTTATGTGAAACTTAAGAGTTTGATCTGTTCTGAAATAATACTGCTTGTAGAATATGGTCGTTCAAATTTCCTAGTCAACTATATTTTTTTAATATATATTCTTTAAGATTTTTATTTATTTATGCATATAAAAACTGGGGTGCAGGCCAGAGGTGCAGGTTTGGGGGTCAGAGGACTAACCAAAGACAGAGTGGGGAGCAGAACAGGTGGATCTCCTGAAACAATGCTGAGGGGAGCAGCACGGGAGGCAAGAGAGGTCTGCTGGGCCATGTGGGTGAGCTCCCTGGCTGGGGATCAAACTCAGACAACAGTGGCTGGCAATAGCTTAATAGTGCTGAGACTTAATCTCTGCACAATATTTGAAGCCCCTCAATTATATTATTATCAGATTTTTAATTTTGTTCTATTTCAGGGTTTACATAGGAGTGAAAGAATATAATACATTTTTGTTTGATATGTTACTGCTGTTTTTTGTTTGACTGTTTTAATTCAAGGAATTTTTTTCTTTTATCTGACCATGATCTGCAGCAACATTAAATTGTACTTTGTGAACAGAATTGTATTTGCATTTTCTCTTTCCTTGATACCATTATAACATGGAATATTACTTATGGCAATCTGACACCTTTGCATAATTTCAACAAGTGTGATTTGTTTATCCTTAACAATTAGAAATACAGGTACATTATTGATGCTGTGATATGACTGTTACAGTTGACATCTCCCGGAATTGAGATTGTGCAGAGCCAAAAAGAAAAGAGTCTGTGACCTTGCCTGCAGGAGTCTAGAGTCTTCCCAGCAAAGTAGGGTAGCTTACCTCTGTTGGAAGGCCCCAAGGCCTTGAGAAACTTGAGAAGAGGAAATCAATAGAAAGGTACAAATGTTACAGGTGGAGTATAGTGAGATCATCCTGCGGCATGGCTCCCGAGACCTGTAGAGGCCAAATGTTGAGAAGTAAATCTAAAATCCTTGTATGGAACGTTATAACAATGCCAAAAGAATTCTGCTTAGTTATTCTATCCTATGAGTTTATGCAAAAATAGATCAAATAGGTTGGGATTAGATTTAGCTTAGCAATGCATAGCACATTGTGTGTGTGTGTGGGGGGGGTGGATGATGGCAACATTTACTGAGATAGGAGAAAGAGAACAGGAATTATTAAGTGTTATGTGTTGACCATAGTTATATTTCACAAAATATCAACTAGTCCCTATGAGCTAGGCATTGCTCTTAAGCTCTTAATTCAATTATCTGAGGGGAGTCACTGTCTTTGGTGCGACTGTGGAGGAGGGTTCAACAAAAGAACCAACGAAGGAGGAAAACTTACTTAAGCGTGAAATCCCAGAAGCCAACCTGGGGTGGGATGGGTGGGAGTTTGGAAGGATGGTCTGCGTTGTCAGATGTCACTCTAAGGCAGAGAGGCAGAGACTTGACCCCTGCACTTGCTAACATGGCTGCAAGTGACCTGGAGAGATGCCATTCCAAGAGCTCGGCGGAAGGTCAACTGAGTATAGAACGGAAAGTGAGGAAGAGCCCACGGAGGATCTACGCTACTTTTCAGCGGACTTTGGCTGCAGGGTCTAGAGAGGGCTCGAGCTGGATTATGACTGACAGTGCGGCACCTGTTTGATTGTTGGCAGTAACCAAAATGGAGGTGGAGCGGGGGCGCTGAGGACTAAGAACAACGGCAGCAGCAGTGTCCCCGGGCAGGCCAGTGGGCCGGCGGCCGGCCACAAGCGAGGACGTCACACTACCTGCTGCACCCCGCCCCGGCTCTCCCGGGCAGCGCTCCGCGGGACGCGCCGGGCCCTAGTCTCGCGGGGCTGGCGCCCGCGCGCCGACGCCGGCGCTGGAACCACGACTCCCGGTGGGCCTTGCGCGGCCCCAGTGCGCAGGCGCCCGCGGGCCTCGGACGCCCCCTCCCCTCCCCGGTTCCCGGCTGCATCTTCCGACGCCAGAGGGACGGGCTCTTCTTAAAGGAGAAACGGCGGAGGCGCGTTAGGTGGGCCCCAGTCCTGACCGCTCTCGGGCTTGCGCGCGAAGCCGAGGGAGCGCAGGCAGCGCAGGCGCAGTGGGGCAAGGGCGGGTGGGTGCCAGGTAAGGTCTGGGCCAGGTGGGTCGCGGCCGCGGCTGCGGGCGACCTGCGAGCCGCTTTGGGGATTGGCCTGTCCCGCACACTAAGCGGGCGGTCAGGACGCCATCCCGGCCCGCGGCCCGCCCCCGTCGACGCAGGGTGAAGAGCACTCGGTGCAAACGGCCCCGCCTTTCCTCACTTAGCAGCGAGAGGCCCCTGGCCTCCCCAGGTGGAAGTGTGACCCCACCCCACCCCTCCCCACCCGCGGGCTTCACGGCCCTTCCCGGAGCGCCAGCCTCACACTTAAGTGGGCACGGGCCAAAACACCGCTCTGACCTTGACCCCCTGGCCCTGTTTCCCTCCTGGAGGCACCGCCCCATAGTGCTGGTTACCAGCCTTGTCCCCGTGGTCCAGGCCGGAAGGCAGCGCAGGCAGTCCAGGTGATTGGCCTTGACCCAACTGAGTGCTGAGGGAATTGATGCCTGAGCGCAGGAGGAGCCTGAGCTTCGGGCCATGGACTGAGTGGACCTCATGCATGTTGTGTCCCCCCAGTCCCTCCCGCAGGCCGGTGCTCATGGCCGCATCCCTGGCAGAGTCGTCCAGCAGGCGACGGGAGAAGCGGAGGCAGCTGGATGCTCGCCGCAGCAAGTGCCGCATACGTCTGGGCGGGCACATGGAGCAGTGGTGCATCCTCAAGGAGAGGCTGGGCTTCGCTCTGCACTCGCAGCTTGCAAAGTTCCTGCTGGACCGGTTAGGGCCCAGGGTTGGGACTCTGGGGTGGGTTCCCAACCCCTGGCCAAGAACTGGCCCCCTCCTTACCACCCCCAGATTTCTCGTTTTAGCAGAGTGGCTTTTGTGATTTGTGACCTCTCGGGGTCCTGTCCCTAGTGAATGGTTCTTTAGGTATGTGAGTGTCCAGAGCTAAAAAGACAGCTGCCAGCTGGGCCTGACCTGACCTGCCTCTTGTTCCCCTGGTAGGTACACTTCTCCAGGCTGCGTGCTCTGTGCAGGTAGGTAGGAAATGGCTGGTGGCAGGGACTTGGGAACCAGAGGGGGAAGGGGATGACATGTGTGATATGGATACATCCTCCCCAGGGTAGGTGGGTCAGAGGAACCCTTGAGTTTGGGAAGAGGTGGGAAAGTTAGGGAGTCCAAGGTAGAGAAGGGACCTTGGGGGGGTCTGAGCTCTGAAGAGAGGTAACTCCCAGGTTACCCAGGGAGTTGGAGGGACAAGGCTGTCTGGATGTGGCTCTGCAAGGGGAGAAGGGAGTCTCTCAGTTCACCCTTTTACCCTCACCCCTCCAGGTCCTGAGCCTTTGCCCCCCAAGGGTCTGCAGTATCTGGTACTCCTGTCTCATGCCCACAGCCGAGAGTGTAGCCTGGTGCCTGGGCTACGGGGGCCTGGGGGCCAAGATGGGGGACTTGTGTGGGAGTGCTCTGCTGGCCACACCTTCTCCTGGGGCCCTTCTTCAGGCCCACACCTCCAGAGGAGCCCAGGCCAGTTCCCCTTCCAAGTACTGCCCAGAGAAGCTGGTGCCCAGAAAAACAGAAGCCTATAGGTAGGATGGGGAAAAGAAGTTGTGGAGAAAAGGGAGGGGGAAAGGTTTCCCATTTTTTTTTTGTAGATAAGAACCCCGTTCACTCAGTGGAAGAACTCTATGCTGACAAAGTATATCCTCAAATATATTTTTTAGGGATAAAAGCAAAATAGAGAATAGAATGTATGGTATGCTGTCAGTGGGAAAATAAATGGGAGGAGAATATGTATTGTATGTACTTATTAGCATAAGGTATCTGAAAGAAACCATGTTGCCTGTACTAAGAACTAAGTGGCTGCTGTCAGTTTTGGAAGGAGACTTTTCATTGTACAGTATGGTTGTTTTTTAACCATGTGAATACATCATTGTTAAAACAGCCCCTTTGACTCCAGTAGCCTCTGCCATCTCCTCCTTCCTGAGTCTCCCACCACCTCAGACCTTAGAACTCTCCCTGT